GTGCTATTACCTTTTTCATATAAGCCTCAATTTCATATAAGCCACAAATCAGGTTATCCTCGTGATAATAACCCTAGCGTGACTTCGTCAACGCATAGGGCTATTTTTTTGACCAAGCATCTGTTTTGTACATCATTTTAATTTTTTAAAAATTAAATTTTTTAAAAACATTGAGCGAAGATATCTCAGCAACTATCTAAGCAAATTCGATAATTTTTTTTTATTTTAATTCCAGAGGTATCTAGAATTATCACTGTTTGCATATTGATGCAACCCATGATAAAATTTGTAGATCGCTGCATATCCCGATTGTTTGATTAAAATCGATTGAACGTGATTGTACGTGATTGTATGCGATTTCTCAGCAATCATCCGATCAAATTCGACGAAATTTTTTATTCGAATTTTAAGAATCTATAGAATTCAAATAAAAAAAAATTCATCGAATTTGATCAGATGGTTGCTGAGATATCATCGCTCAAAGTTTTTTTTTAAAATATCAAAACGTCGATCAAAAATACTGTAGAACTGCGCCAAACTTTTCCTAAAGCTTTGAGTGAAGATATCTCAGCGACCATCTGATCAAATTTGATGAATTTTTTTTTATTTGAATTCTATAAATTCGAATAAAAAAATTTTCATCGAATTTGATTTGATGGTTGCTGAGAAATCGCATACAATCACGTACAATCACGTACAATCGATTTCAATCGAACAATCGGGGTATGCAGCGATCTACAAATTTTATCATGGGTTGCATCAATATGCAAACAGCGATAATAGAATTCAAATAAAAAAAAAAATCATTGAATTTGATCTAATAGTTGTTGAGATTCTTCGCTCAAAGCTCTAGAAAAAATTTGGCGCAGCTTCCATTGTTGATAAATATTGACATTTTTTAAAAAAAACTTTGAACGATGATATCTCAGCAACCACCTGATCAAATTCGATGAATTTTTTTTTATTTGAATTCTACAGATTCAATCCAAATAAAAAAAAAATTCATCGAATTTGATCAGATGGTTGCTGAGAAATCGCTACAATCGCGTACAATCGATTTCAATCAAACAATTGGCATGCAATGATCTACAAATTTTATCAAAAGCACATCAATTTGCAAACAGCGATAATGTTATAAATTCCGTTAATATGCAACATTTATGGACAAAACACGGAATATAAAACAAGGATCGACTTTTTTTATTGGGTAATGCAGCATAATGAGATTAAAGAACTTTATGAAAGATTAATTGCATGTAACGTGGGACGTCGTCGATATTATATTGATGCCCGACATAGTTTATTATACTAAGTTGTTACAAATACCATGTTACAATTAATTTTGTGCAACTATTTTTTTTAATCTCATTATGCTACGTTTTTTGGGAAAGCGAGCTATAGCGGTTTTTGATTGATGACTTCTCATTGTCCAAGTGATCACAGACACGATTTATATGTAACAACGTAGTAGTCTTTAATTAAGTCGAAAAAATAAATACAGTAATTTAGTAATTATGAAATAATGTTTAACAAAGATTTCATAAAACTTATCTAGTATAAATAGAAAAGTAAAATTCCTTCTTTGATATCTACTTTAATCAGTATCATAAACTAAACATTGACGAAAGTTTTATAGTAAACAAACATATTTAAATGGAAGAAGAAAAGAAACTTCATATTATCTATTTAAAATTTCTCAAGAATCTGTAATAGTTAACACGGAAGAATAATACAGCTCATCAATTTGCTAAATTCCTAATAAAATTTAAACATAGGTCTTTTTCACTAGCAAATTTATATTCCAGAAATTCGCAATTCGAAATACTCAAGTTTATATAAGTTTGACTATATTTCTACATATTAGATTAATAAATAAATAAATAAAAGGTTGATTATATTTTCTATATATTAGTTTAATAAATATAAAATCGATTTTTAATTAATCGTAATAAAGGGTTTCATTCGCCTAAAACAAGTTCTATTTTATCTGTATTGAGAATTTTTTCTAATTTTAAAGCTAAAGTAACATAACCCAATTTACGAGAGTAACCGCCTGCTATATGCAAACCATTTAGACCCACCCAAGGTAAATTTTGTAAATCTTGTAAATGAATTACAGGCGAACCACTATCACCTCCATCACTAACCATATTTGTAATGATCAAATCCTTTTGAATTGCACCTTTATCATCTATTAAAATACCATTAACCGATTTTATGTATCCACAAGTAAGAAATGTAGTTGTTCCAGATTTACATAAGTGAGCATTATGGGTCGATATAGTTTCATAGTCTCCCGTAAATAGTGTTCTATATCGGTCAGAACCTCTAATATTCTTTGTTGGTTCAATAAGATCATTTGTTATATTGATTAAGCCAAAATCATTATCTAAATCATAAATTACCATTTGTCCAAGATTTTTTTTGAGTTCTGGTTGTTGTAATGGAGCCCGTTGAAAAAAATTATGAACAGGACTTAAATTATTAGGATCAATACAATGTGCTGCAGTTACTATATAATCGTCAACAGGTTTTTTTACATCTTTTACCCAAAAACCTGCCGTACATATTTCGTCATAGCCTTTATTATATATCTCATCCCCACCTAATATTAGCAATTTTACTCCACGTTTACTGTGGATTGAATTAGGAGAGTTTTTTCGTTTTGGATTATCTCTATAATATATAGATGGGTTATATTGTTTGATATCGTCTATAAATGCTTTATTAGTTGTGTCGTCATTGCGGTCTAATAATATGATAATATTATTAATTTCTACATCAATGTAAACAATTACTTCAATTGCGTGATTTGATTGTGCTTTTGTGACTATTGTTGTTAGTGTTTTTTTTAAGTATAATTGAGAATTCCTTACTAGATTAAATGATAATAAATTTTTATATGGCTTTATCACATGTAAATTTAATATAAAATTCTTCATCTCTTTCTTTACTATCATGATTATTGTTTTATTATCTTTTATA